TAGTTGTGGTTAGGGTTGGAAAATCAAGCGACCATGATGGTATTCTGATGGCGGAAATCAAATCCCACGCCTTATTTTCAAGTTGTTTTACAAGGCATGGAATTTGGGGGGCATATATTTATTCCATTATTTTACCCAATGGAAAAGAGACAAGTGGCGAGTTTTGACAAAGCTTACCATATTGATTTAATGTTCTAATTGTCTAAGGAAAAGAGGGTGTGACATGGAATTGTTAATGTGGTTCCTTAAATAGAAAAGAGGTACGTGGCAAGTTCCAATGGAACTTGCCATGTTAGACTACAATATTGATAAATATTCCACCTTGGAATATTTAAATTATGGGAAATTAAAAGACAAGTGGTGAGTCCCTTTAGGACTTACCAAATTTAGGATATAATGTCCTAAAAGGAAAAAAAAAAATGGCGTGTAGTTATTATCATGAGTACAATCTCATAAAAAGGCTAAAGTCAGCCAACCAATAATTTATCGACACATGGCGAGCTTTATTAAACTTGCCACGATGGACTAATTTTGTTAAAGTTGAATTTATTTGGAAGATCCTATCTTAGTAAGATACCAATTAGATGGGTATTTTCCATTTAAATAAAAGTTGAATAAGTCATAGGGACGTGGAGGCAACTTTCTCCTTATTTTTAGGAGATTTCAACAATGGTTCAGCCAAGTCAACTTCTGTTGCTAAAATTAGCAAGACGTGAGATTTAATTTATTTCTTTATATATATATATATATATATATATATATATATATATATTAGGCTTAAACCCACGATGAAGGAATCACTGTGAAAAGGGAGTTCATGAAGCCGTGAGGTCTAAATCCAAAGGAAGTTAAGGTTGAAGAGAAGTTGCTAAAATTAAGGAAGTAAGCAACAACCATAACCCACGATGTAAACTCAGTGACCATGATGCCATAGAAGGTTTAACCTAAAATCAAGGAAACCGTGGTCTATAGAAGAAAGGGAGGTAGGTTGGAGAAATATAGATGTGTACAAATATACTCTGGGAAACTACCCACGATGGAGGAGTTGCTAAAATTAAGGAGGTCATGGCACTATGAACTCCAAACTTCAGAAGGAAAGTCTCAAGATGGAAGTTATGCACGATGAGGAGTTTTATAAGAAGTCAAAAACCATGACGCCAAGAAAGGAAGGTTCTAGCAGAAGTGAAAGATTATTAGAAATCATGGGACACTTGGCTAAACAGGAATATATCGGTTGAAAGTGGTGGAAATCTATAAGGAAACTACCACTAACCAAGGGAAGTTATCAAGAGTCATGGGTGACAGGGCAGCAGTTGATGAAATCGTGTCTGAAGTTAAGGAAATGAGTTGATGACGTGAGGAAGAAGAATAAAATCATGAGACACTTGCCAAGTCACGAAGAGAACACGTGGGAATTCATTCTGAAACTACCCATGACGCAAATTCGTTGAAGACTAGAGAGGACGTGGTTGAAGTCTACAATAGAAGATAGATAAGATGGAAGAAGTTACAACCGTTGAGGAATCATGGGACATGTGGTAGTCCGGAACCATTCCACATGGAAGCTGCTGAAGTTGCCACACCTAGTTAATGCATGCATGGAGAGCTCTATAAATAGAATACTTAGGCTTCACTTGCAAACCCTGTTCAAATCACACGGCAAAATAGCACTTCAATATCTTTACATTCATGTATCTTTACATTCATGTAATGCAATTTCAGTATGTTTAATTCAAGTCCTGCACTTATCTTTCTTACTTTCCAAGTCCTGCACTTCAATTCCTTTACTTTGAAGTCCTGCACTTTCAATACAGCTTTCTTTTCCACTAGTCATAGTTCAGTCCGAAAGTCCTTTTTCAAGGCAAAAAGAACCCTTGAAGGTGGTAATTCCAGTCCTTCATTCAATCACCTGATCCCTGCAATTTCCTACTGGATAGTTATTCAGATATCCACTTTGGAATGACAGCAGTTCCTGGCATGCTCGACATCTACTCCTACTTTCCACCTACCTGGAAAGCGGAACTAGCGTTTTTTCGCGAGCCGAACAGCAGTATTAATGTTTTCTCATTTTTTAAAATCTCTTAAATTTGGTCAGGATATTTCAGTACTTTTTTAATCATTTATAAAAATCTTGAACATTATGAAATTTTCTATATTTCAAATTTGTTTTTTTTTTTTTTTTTTTTTTTTTTTTTTTTTTTTTTTTTTTGTCATTAACAAGAAATACATACCCCACTTACACACCCACTTTGTTAATTTGATGACTCAATTTCTCACCAGCCACACTTAAGAACTAAAGAAATAACACTAGGTAATATTTCAATTTTCTTAAGTCTTTCCAAATAATATATAATGGGCACTCATAATTTAATTTTTTACAACAGCCTTTATTAACTTTTAATTTAATAATGATCATGGACTTTTTCCTGAATTATCAGTCCTCTTATTTTTTCTGGAATGACTTTTGAATCATGAATTATTTCATGCCAAATAATCCGTGAATTCCGTGTGTCATAAAAAAAAATAAAAAGAAAATTTTTGTAATGCCAAAATTACTTAAAAAACCATGTGTCTGGGTGGGACTAGCCCGAGTAACTCGATTCCTGCCCGAAAATTTTACAGGAATGGGTAAGGTACTTGAGTTTGTGGGATGTGAATGGGTTAAAACTTTAGAACCTGAATTTATTTTGGACGGAATTTGGCCAATTGTGTTAGTAACCCGAATAACCCTAAAGATCCAAAGAACCTAAAATATAAGAAGAGTTTATAACTTTTATATTTAAAAATTAGATTATTTATCGTATCATCAATCATGAATTCATCATATGAGATCATATTAATATTACACATAGTTTGGTTATTTTTGTCGCACTTAGGACGATTTTTGCAAGTGAACGTAACATTTTATTTATTTATTTATTTTCAAGTTGGTACTTACACATCCCTGGATAGTTTTATTTATTTATATTTTTTGAAAAAATTACATATAGGTAGAGTTGGTAGTCCTAAATATCAAAATGGTCTATTTTAAAAGTCTATTTTTTAATTTAATTGATTTAAACAAGATAATTACAAATACATTAAGAATTTTTGTTAAAGTCCCAAATACTCTCTTTGTAATCTAGCTTGCTTTTTTGTTGTCGAGAGTTATGCCTCTCTAGGTGCTACTTGTTTCCTTCTTTAATAAAACTGCTTAATTATCAATATATATCTATATATATATATCAAAAAAAATTTAGGGAATTATATTTTTAAATTGATTTCATGTATAATTTGTAGTGAGACCAAATTCACAAAATTATAAAATAAAATAAAAATAAATAAATAAAATAAAATAAACTTATCAATAGAAACGTATGTTATTGAAGGGGTATCAGTATCACACGATACCAACAAAATAATGTAGCATGTACAAGTAAAAATTGCATGCACCAATTAGTCATATGCCTTAAATCTTATTACGATTTTAGGGTTTCAAATAATGTTTTGTGTCTTTAATCGGACTTTTACAACATTATATTAGTACGTATATTGGAAGGTTTCTATTGGTAGGTTTATTTTATTTTATTTTCTTTTAATTTTTAATTTTATTCTAAAATCTTGTGAATTTGGGCTCATTACAAATTAACTTTGAAAAGATAATTTGGGAAAAATTTCTTTGATATATATATTTTTTATATAATTAATCAATTTTATTAATGAAGGAAATAAGGAGTAACTAGAGAGACATATCTCTCAAAAAAAAAAAAAAAAGTCAGATTACAAAGATAGTTTTTGATGTATTTGTAATTATTTTATTTAAATCAATCAAATTGAAAAATAAAATTTTAAAATAAATCACTTTGTTATTTAGGATTCCTAATTTTACCCATGTGTAGTTTTCTCAATTTCTTTTTAATGTTTATTTGTTAATACGTTATTAAAATTTATGATGACCTGAAAAATTCGAAAAACACGATATGATGTGGGTTGAGACGTGAAGGTTTCTCGGGATTTAAGCTTGACATGACTTAACTAACCTCTTGGACCGCCCAACCTGCCCAAGTCCCACTAGGACTTGTTATATTTATCGCACCAAATGCCTGCCAGTCCACACAGTTTGGGCCCGAAAACAGAAACAGCCCAACCCAAAACAATCTGTCTTAGCATGAGGTGGTGGACCTCACTGCAGAGTGCAGACAACATGGTAATTGTATAAATTCTTTTGCTACGTATCGTTTAATTGTAATCATGTATAAATATTGAGATACACTTTTAACTTTTTGAAACAGATTAATATGAGACTTGTATTATTAATAATTCATATTAAAATTTATTTAAAATAAATCACACAAATTAAACTATTACCATTACTTCTTCATTTTTATTTTATGATATTTTAGACTGATTTATATATTTATTTTTTTAGTGAGACTATTTTGATATTAACTAGGAAAATTTTTTTATTTTTTTATTATATATATATATATATTTTACAATGGAGGTATTTTTACACCAACGAGTGAGACTAAGGCTCTGTTAAAATTTTTTTTTTTTTTACTTTTTCATATTTGATTGTCTTAAAATATTTACGAAGAAAGAAAATATTAAAATTTAACAAATATAACTAACTCATCAATTTTCAATAAGCTATTTTACACGTTCGGCTCAATAGACTCGACCTCAATCCTGACCTAAATCTGTAATAAACACCAAATAAATAAAAATAAAAAATATATTTTATCTGAATATATATATATATTTTTTAAAAAAAATTATTTTACTTCAAAACACAACCTAATTATATACCTAACAAGTGAAAGTAATTAACTTCAAAACACACGCAGCACTTTACAAGCCACGAAAATTATTTACCCAACACTTCAAACTTAAGACTTGATGATATTCACAAAGCACTATGGTAACCTCGCGGGATGACATCACTTGTGAACCACTCCGTATTTTTTAATCCAAAATATGCTATCATGAGTACGACCTCACCAAAGCTTTACTCTACATATCAATTCAAGCGTCTCTTTCTGAGCTTCAACCAACCAACATGAAAAAGTCGAAACGTGTAGTTAAACCGATCAACCGCGCGCACACACAAACACACACACACATATATATCTTGAATCTCTTGCGAAAAAGCTTCAACTCCTAAAAAATATCTTCCATTGTTTAATTAATTAGTTCCAGATTCTACATTCCATTAGAGATCTCAAGGTAATAAAATCAATTTTGATAAAATTTCTTATGGTTCTTGAAACATTATTCTCGTTTTGCAGATCCAATTGGGGTGTTTGTTTTCCGCAATTCATTTCAATTTATTTTTCTGTCTTTCATTTATCACCAGGTGAGGAAGATGTTATGTTCTTTTGTTTTTCTCTGGACAGTTTTGATTATTTGTTCTTGGTTGTAATTGTTAATGGATGATTGAATTTGTATGTGTTTAGGATTCTTGAAAAAAGAAAAAAAAAAAAAAAAAAAAAAAAAGAGTTTGACTGAGTATTCTGTGAGATCCCGGGTTACTGTCAGAAGTGTATGATTGTTGCAAATTATTCTCTCTCTTCCCTGTTTTTTGCTTCATTGTGTCAATACCTGATTCATGGTTTCCTTATAGATATATATATTTGTGTGTAATCTTTCCGCAGTTTTCTTTCTGGGAGTTGTTTTGCTATCCAATTTGAGCTGATTGATTTGGATATATATATTTAGAAATTATAATTTAATGGGATTAGGACGGTTAATTACCAATCTTGTTTCTCAAACAATAATATATATCCATGGACGATCATGTCTAACAAACTAATGATTTACGGAGACTTTTGTAGATCCCCTTGTAGAGATGCAAATTGAATGGTCACATGGTCGTGGATAAGATGGCCATCTTTACATACACACTGGTCATGTTTTGGCCCTAGGATATACTTGTATTATTTGATGGTATAAACATGAACATGAAGATGATCAGATGATAAGATGGTCTCGGGCTCCACATAATAATGCCCAATGTCCATTAAAGTTGTTGTTCACAACTTCATTCAAATTTGATTTCCAATATTGTGTTTGAAGGAACATTAATGTTGTCTCCCTTTTGCTTAATACTATGTTATGATCAAATGCAATAAGATGGTATAGACTAAATTTACGTTATAATCTTGATTATAAGATCATGCCCTCTATGTATACGACATGTATTTACTTAGTTAAGCTTATTCCTTTGCAGCATACGTTCTTTTTTGTGGCTGTTTATCAGGGAAAGAAGTACAAAGCTGTTTCCCATTTACAAAATGATGAGAAGTGAAATCCATAGCGTTGGTGAATGTTCTCGGTCAACCTCATTCAGCAGTCAGCTGGATAATGAGGATGACAGGATGATTGCCGTTGTACTATCAGAAGAGTATGCTAAGATGGATGGTGCAGTTGGTCGACGCCTTTCCAACCTGGCTTCAATCCCTGTAAGATACTCTATCATGCTTCTCTTTATGGATCGTCTATTCAATAAATCTATTTTATTCATGTCCTCTTAATTTCTGGCTAGAATTCATTTCTGTGCTAAATTCGGCCAGAAATCGTTTCTGTGCTAAATTCGGACTTATTTCCTCCGTATCTTCCATTTAAATAATTATGAAAGAAAATATGAAATTTTTACATGGTGATTGAATTAAGAGCTAATATCTAGAAATTTTGCTTATTTGCTTTCTTGATCTTTTATTTTTCATGAAATGAAGCGAAACATTGTCTGCTACAACGTAGATAACAATTCAGCTAATTATGATTCATGAAGATGTCTTTTATGTGTACCCCTTTAATATGAGAGGTCGAAAGAAATTGTATCTAAAGGAATTTATATTGTATAAAATTCACTTAAGTTGTGATTGTTTTATATTATTATTGTGTAAGGAAACCTTTTTTTATCTGATTTGATTAAGCTTCATTGATTTAAGGTGCTCGCATGTTTTTTTTTTTTTTCTGGAATGAACTTCGATGAATGTCTTAGCATTTTCTTTTCTTTGTTTTTTTTGTGAAATTTCAGCATATCCCGCGAATAAATACCTATATTCCCAACTTTAGTGATGCCAGTTTTGATCATCAAAGGCTGCTCGACAGGTAAGTTTCATAGTTGGTAGTCATATTATCTTCATCCTTTCATTGGTGAAAGAAATTTTCAACAAATATTTCAAATTTCCCATTTCCTTCTTCTTTTGTCCTCGAAAATGGAGAAAAAGAGTTAAAGAGTGTTGTAGAAATTAAAAGTGGCACCAATTGAGGATAAGATGAGGAGTAGTAGTTGAGATAGTTCAGCATATGCAAATAGCTCCATAGTAAGAAGTGGTAGAATGAGAAATGAATGCATTCATAGAAGTAAAGTGATATTGATTGAAAATGTGACATGGGAAAAATATTGATATAGTTTGGCCATGTACAATGTACACCTTTTAATGCATTAGTATGGAGTCCTTTGATTTTATCTTTTTTTCCTGAATGGGTGGAGTTTATTAAATTAAAATAAGAAATAATGAGCGTGGAGTCCTTTGATTAGAGTTTGAAGATGGTAGAAGGATAAGAAAGATGTCAAAATGAAGGTGGGAAACGGCTTTGAGGAGTCACATGATTGCCTTGGAATTAGCTAAAAAGTTTACTGAAGAAGATGAATTCATGTTGACGACCTCGAGGTTTTGGAGTTAAGGCGTGTTAGGTTCACTGGAGTCGAGTGTCTGAAAGTTTATGAAATGGATTTTAATACAAGAAATGCATCAATTCCAGAACTCTACTGTGTTAAGAATATGTCCGCTACTATCTATGCTTCCTATTCCTTTCTGTTAAAGAATTTTTTTTATTTTTTTCACCTTTATGGACTTGCAAACGGCTGGGTATAAAGTGACTTTTGGAGCTGAATTGAGAGAGCAAGAGTAGCCTTTTAAAATACCTTAATTTCAAAGCATTTGCAGTGCTTGTAAATTTAAATCACTTATACATATGATCGGCACTTATAAAGATTTTTTTTTTTGCTTTTTATTATATACAAAATTTTACTACCAAAAATAGATATTGGATATTGGTAAGTTTCTTAGTTTAAATGATGAAATAAGCTTTAGGTATCAAAGTGGTTGTTACTATCTTAGTTGTTGGCTGGTCACATCTATTCATTAAGCCAAAAGCTTGAATTAGCTTATTTGTTGTAAGAATTGTTTCTAATATATATATGTGTGTGTGTGTGTGTGTGTGTGTTTTATGAATTCCACTACATCCCCTTTTTTTTTGTAATCATGGCATGTGTCGTATAATGGTCAGGTGTATACAAAAGCATAAAGACCATAACATTGGCATGAATGCTCCACAAATTGTGCCTGGATTCACTCAAAGTGTAGATTACCATTCTTAGATCGTGTTTGGAGATGAGTTGGCGAATCTAAGTTCACATAATTTTATAAAGCCCAATAATGTGAAAGAAGTTTATATAAAGTGTTAGATGACCATTTTCCCCAAGAGCAATCTAAACAATGTATATCAAATACTCACACCCTCCTCAAGTATGAACGCCTCTCCACATGGAGTGGCTGCCGAATAGAGTGCAAGTAGACAGATAGATAAGAAGACAAATGCAGTGAAGAAACTTGAATGCAAGATCTCCAAGGATCAAAACTCTGATATGATGTTAGACAATGGCTTGTCCCAGAAAAGTTGGAAATTTTATGAAATGAACAAAGAACTGTATGTTAAACTATCAAACTAAAAATTGAGAAGGTTACCTGCATGAATCGATCCATTGCTCAAGTGTTTAAGCCACAAATATGCATACACATGGTAAGAGGGGAGAAACTTGCATAGCTCAAGCAGCAAAGATATATAGCAGCTGGAGTAGGGGACACATCAGCAGAAGAGAAGGAAATGGAGTTTTATAGGAAACAAGGACATGTGGCGAAGGTACATGCAACAGAAATAGGGACAGATTGCAAACAAAACCAAACAGGATGTAACAGGCAAGCAATATCCTATAAGAAGAAGTAAAGGGCAAATCTAGTGCATAAGGCTCCCGCCATTATGGAGTCTGGGGAGGGTCAAATATATGCAGTCTTACCTCCACATGTGGAGACTCTATTTCAACCCATGACCTCCAAGACTCCAAGTCACAATAGAGCAACTTTACCGTTGTGCCAAGGCTTGCCCTCAACAGTTTTTAGTGACTTGTTGTGCACACAAGGAGCAATTTTTTTTAGAGTAGCAGCATAATTGGTGCTTGGGGTCAAAATCTTGGCTATAAGTTTTGAGCTTCATCTGCTATTGATGCCTGCATTTAGGAAATAGCCATATAAATAAGAATAGAATAAACTGTAGTTTCAACAACTATTGCAACTGGTGCCATATCCTTGTAGTCCTCATGAACACACCTAACCCTGTGAACCAACTACAATTTAGGAAAAGTTGGCAACTGTTGAAGGAAACCCACCTATAATTCACAATAATTTGCAATGTTAATGATACAAAAATTAGCCCATAAAGTAAATGTACTAACTCTTAAACGCGTAAAAAAGAAACACTCTAACCTGCAAACTGTTATCCTTGATTTGTGAGAACCACCACTCTTTATTTAAACTGTTGTCTCCTCTAATTATACAAGGTCCGATCCATCTATTTACATCCATCTATTTACTCTCTCTCTCTCTCTCTCTCTCTCACACACACACACACACACCCACCCACACCCACACCCACACCCACACCACACACACAAAACACAACTCATACATATAAGGATTTACATACTATATATGTTTATGCAAACATATATATTCATTACATGCATAAATTATATATAGAATTGTAGTCATGGTCCTACTAATTTTTACATTTCTAGTGCACATGAAATTAAAGCCTGAAATGATTATTCCTTATAATTCTTAGGAACCTGTGGCTCATGCTATATGCAACTTGGAGTTTTGTTGTGACCATGCTACATTTTGTTCATACTTCACACAGAGAGCCATTCTTGTTATTATCATTTAAAGCTCTTTATATTGAGTGGACTAGTGAATAATTTTTTTCTTATCACTTTCTTCCAGGCTAAATGCTTATGGCTTATATGAAGTGAAGGTCTCTGGGGATGGCAATTGTCAGGTGCAGTTTCAAAGTAATACAGAAATATGATCCTTTGAAATTCATTGATATTATTTCCCCCTTTTTGCAGTTTCGTGCACTTTCAGACCAGATTTATAAGTCACCAGAGTATCACAAGCATGTTCGGAAAGAGGTTGTGAAACAGGTTTGTTATAAGGGTAGCTTTTATGTGGCAAAAAACTTGTTAATGGTTCATAATGGTTAAGGGAATTGGGGACAGAATTGGATTTAAACCCCTTCAATGCCAATCTTGTTTTTATGTGCAGTATTCTGAGTGTCATCAAAATTTCATCCTCACCAAAATTAAGGGCTATTTTGATGATAAAAGAAGCTTTTCTAGTCCATGAGGAAGGATTTTAATTGCAAATCTCACTAGCTAGGACGGTTGACAAATTTGTTTAAGCACAAGCGATGTGCTCATACCAGTTTTAGGACAGATGACAAAAATTTGACAATTCATCCTGATAAGACTAAGTTGAGTTTCATTTGAACCTAAGTTATTAAGTTCGTAAGCTTAGCACGTTTCACAAGTCAAGCGTCATTCTATGATTCGATCTCTTGCAATTTCTCTGTTCAAGTGCAACTAAGGTGCCTGTGCCAATTGTGGACTTATTGTTTTTTCTTTCCATCTTTGGGATTTTATTAGTTGGGAAAATGCTTTGTTGTTGTTGTTGTTGTTGAATTGGGATTTTATTAGAAAAGGATCAAGCATTATGGTACAGAAAAAGGAGGCATACCCTCTAGAAAGACAAAGGAAAATAATGGATGAATACATCCATTTCCGATACACATGAAAAAACCAAAAGGGCAATCTAAGTAATAACATCTTGAGCTCCGCGACCAGCAACATCAAGGACTGAGAACCAAATGAAGGAAGCAAGTGCTTGACTGGAAGAAGAATTTCCAGAATGCAGCCTGGAATTTCTCTTGCCCCAAAGAATGGCAGCAAACAGCATCTTTATTAGCATGGAGTTTCTGAAGTGAGCTAGAAACCAGTCCACCAACTGAAGTAATCTGCTACTGTCATGATGAATGGCCAAGGCCAATGCAGCATAGAACTAAACAAATTCCAAATCTCAACAGCAAAATCACTTTCAACAAAAAGTTGATCTCTGTCATTGGTGGCTTTGACGCAATTAGTGCGGATAGGAGCCAATTTCCAAATTTTTTTTCTGAAGATTAACAAAAGAAGGATGCTTATCAAGCATGGTAATGCAGCAGGCCACAGGAACTCTAGGTCTTCCTTTATTCCAACAAAGTGGAGCCCAAGGAACATGTGTATAATGAGATCTGCAGGTATCGCAAACCTTTTTGAAAGAGAAATGTCTTCTATTCCATAGAATTTTATCATGAGCAAATGAAATAAGACTATGGAGCAAAAAGTTTTAAAGAAGAATCTGCAGAACATAAAATTTCAAAATTCCATCCTCCATTAGATATCAAATAACTTATAGAGTAGAATTCCAAGCAAAAGGAAGACTTCTAAGAGCCCTAAAAGAGAAGTTATTCGTTAAGGGAGTTCCACCATACCATGGATCAAGGGATACTTTAAATCTGCTAACATTACCAATCTGATAAACTACATTCTGTAACATACACTCTCTAACACTGAGAAGATTTCTTTAATAATGGACTGAGTTGCAAAAGGTACAGCTAACCAGTATGTAGTTTGAGGTATGTACTTGTTAATGAACCAAGCTATCCACAACCTACCCTTACTCCGAATAAAGTCCCAAGCCAAAGAACAAGTAGCAGCAACTTGAAGATCCTCCAATCTTAATTCCAAATCCTTCCTCTACCTTAGATTTAGTAACCTGAGACCAACTCAGGTGATGAAGCTTGAATCAGTATTAGATGATTTTCCTTGAGAGAAGCCTAAGTTGAGTTCTGCATGCGTCTATGTTTAATAAGTTCATAAACTTTTACATATTTCACGATCCCTGAAACATTTAATATTCCAGTATATTCTTATAACTTTGTTTCAGCAAAAGCTTAGAAGATCATGCCTGTTTCATTCATTTAGACTATTGAACTATTTTTCCCTCGAAAAGCCCAAATACAGTTCTATGTGAGCGCATTTTCAATTTCTAGACCTTTGCACATTTCATAAATTGAATTCTGTTTTCTTTTTCTTTTCTTTTGCTCATTCTAATTTTGGGACTTTCAGACCAGTATTGAATGATATTGCCACATGAAACCTAACTTGATTTCTTATATGAACTTAAGTTTCTGATTTACTAGACTTCTGTCCATTACACAAACCGGAAGCCATTTCTCGATTTGGTATTTTTTAACAACTTTGTTTAAGCATATCAAGGTGCTTTTGCTAGTTCAGAACATTTGAACCATATATTTTATCTTGCTCCAAGAAGTCCAAGTCGAGTTCTATGTGATCTAAGCTACTAAGTTCCTAGGCTTAAAAATTGAAAATCAAGAGTCGATTTTCAATCTGTTCTCTTGTTATAGCTTTGTTTAGATACAAGCAAGGTTCTCGTGATGGTTTTGGGACATTCCAACCAATATTGGATGATTTTTTACTGGAAAGCGTAAGTTGAGTTCTATATGAACCTAATTTTTTAAGTTTGCAAAAATGGAGTTCTGTTTGGATCTGTTCACTCCGCAGCTTCATTTAAGTACAAGCGAGTACTCATACCAGTTCAGGGCATTTGGATTATGTTGGATATTTTTTGTCTCAGAACACCTAGACTTGAAATTATAACATGAAAGTAATTCTAAATTCTCACAAGAGGAAGAGTGCTTCCTAGACACTGCTAATTTTTTAAGTTTGCAAAATGGGAGTTCTGTTTGGATCTGGTCACTCTGCAGCTTCATTTAAGTACAAGCAAGTACTCATACCAGTTCAGGGCATTTGGATTATGTTGGATAAATTTTGTCCCAGAACCAAGCGAGTACTCATACCAATTTAGGGCATTTGGATTATGTTGGATAAATTTTGTCTCAGAACACCTAGACTTGAAATTATAACATGAAAGTAATTGTAAATTATCACAAGAGGAAGAGTGCTTCCTAGACTGTGCTAGTTTGGTGTGCTTAGACTCCCGAGAGTATGTTGAGCATCAATCTCCATCTGCTTAATCCGGAGCTGCTAAGCCAACTTCTCAGGCTCTCTCTCTATCTCCTTAGCCCTCCTCATGTAGCCTCCTCCACCTGTAAATAGATTGATTAGTCTCTGGAGGATGAGTTGGACATGTCGCCATGCTCAAGGCAGAGACTTATCCAGTCCTACTACTGATGGCCTAATTACATTGGTCACTTGGGGTGGTGCCTTCCACTAAGAGGGAATCAATCATTATCTCCCACGCCTATAAATTAATATAAAAAAAGTTGCCAAAAACAATAATAGTGGAATATATTATTAAATAAATGGATAAACAATATATATATACCAGCTCTTAGTTTAGGTTTTCAAGTGTTGTTCCTAAGCATGTGGACAGGTAAACTCCTTGTCTGGCTTGTAGTGAGTTTCCATGTAGAGCGCTATTTTACTGCTATCCTCCTGAGTCTTGAGGTCTCGCCATATCGTGTGTACATATTATCATATTTAACATGATATCTTTTGTATAGTTAACAGATTATTAAATATTGAAACAAATGTGACAAGTAATACTAGTTCCTCACGGTAATTGATGGACAACATTAACTAGTACTGTGATTAACTTCAGCTTTTTCCTGATCTTAGCATTAATCTTATTTTTAGTCTGCATCAAATAGTTTCACAAATTATTATTATTTCAATGACTATAAATATCTATTTGAAATTCACATAATCAACCTACCGAAAAAAGAAATTTACATAACCATAGTCACAACCATTATAACTAATAATATGTATATATATACACCCACCTTTTATGATACATTTCAAAAAGTATTCTTCTTTCCAATGAATGAGATTGATATTTAAATTGATTTATTAAGTGAGATATATATGATTGAAAGGCCTGATGATTTGATGACGGTATTGTGCTGGTATGCAATTTGTTTACTTAATGAAGATGTTATGATCCAAAACTGTTGTCATCCATCGAGGTTTTCATATGTATGCTGCCCTCTTTAAATCAAGCAGTAAAAGGAGAGGCACACCTTCTTTCTCATTTTTCTCTTTTGGGTAATTATTTAGAAACTCCCATGTTTGTAAGTAGGTAAGGGCGCATTATATCACGTTAAAGATTACTGTGACAGCTACTTTATTGATTTCTCTTGTTTAACTTTTTTGTTTCCAGCTTAAAGACTACCATTCTTTGTATGAAGGCCATGTCCCAATGAAGTACAAACACTACTACAAGAAAATGGCCAAGTAGGATACTTGGGAGTCATTACTTTCAGCCAATAGCATTCATTAATTTACTGCTAAAGAAGATTTCTAATTCAGGTCTAACTCCTTCATAATGCAGATCTGGTGAATGGGGGGACCATGTTACATTACAAGCAGCAGCTGATAAGGTCTAGTAATTTTTTTCTCCAATTAAATATGTTCCCCTTTTTTCTTCCCACTTCTTTTATCCTTCAAGTGTAATTACTTAATTTGATTATCTTGTTAAGTACAGGCAACAGAATGTTCTATTGTTTTTCTTTTTCTTTTTTAATCTATTTCTTCATGAACATTCTCGTGCATGAAAAAGTTCTTAAAGATTGATGGTCCAAAAAATATATTCTTCGCCTGAAAATTCTTTATAAATTAATTTGTTGTATGTTTCTTTTTCAAATCCCATTCAGGAATTTTGCCTTAGATTTCAAAAAAATGGTACATGCTCGCATCTCTCTTTGTAAGAGATTCTAGAAAATGCCTCGTTATTAGCCTAACATTCACTTATTGATATCTGTATAAAGAATCATTGCATCAATTTATATCTATAAAGCTTGTGTTTTTAGCAGAGACAGATAAAATCACTTGGATATAAAAAAATAAAAAAATAAAAAAAATTGGTGAGCTTGAATGGCTTGTATATATTTTTAGTCTATAAAGGAGAGATATTTTATTTAAATGATATATGTAGTTTTGTATGAAATGAGGTGTAGTACCATGCATAGCATCTTACAATAAGGTCATGTTTGGGCATGCTCTTAAATTTGAATGGTCCTTATTTGTTTTTAGCATTTTAATAGGCATATTCATCGCCATTTGAGAATACAACAATTGTCTCAAAAATAATGTTTAAAACCTTGAATCCTGTCATTTCAAGAACCTAAAAATGATAATATGGAAAGAGATATGGTTACGCCCCACGTTTTAATTATTAATTTTAAACTAAACTTGTATGTAAAAGTGAATGGTGCCAAAAGAATTGAATGGATGTCCATGTTAGAATATAGGACAGTTTGGAAAATTTGTGAATCAAAATTAAGAGTATCTATTTTTGTTTGTTTTAGAGTGTCAAGGTAGTTAAATTAGTTATGGTACCTTGTACCCAAGGCCAGATCAGGAATTTCGCAGTTACAACCTCAATTAGGACACTCGCCAATTAGGATTTTGCATATAGTAATTAGGATTACATGATTAAATTGTCAGAGTCCTTTGATATGAATTAAAAGTCTTTTTGGTATGAATTAAAAGTCTTTTTTGGAAACAAAATCCTAATCAGATTCCAACTCAAAATAAGACAGTGGATGTCTATCGATGGAGATATCCATCAAGGGTTACTGTATTTGTGTTAACCGATCAATACCTGGCTCAACTGATCGAACAGTTTGGTTCTGAGTTTCCTTTTAAAATTAAACTACTCAGAAACCCTATTACTGATTCTAATCTCATGCAATGGTCAGAAAATTAAGAGACACGAGCACACTATACGAGATTTTTCATACTCATCCCATGATATTTTGTATATTCTAGTAGTATGGTGATTTCTAGAGGTTTTGTTTTTTGTGTGTGTGTGTGCACCCATCATCATGCATGTAGCATGATGAACGGATTGTTTGGTTTTTGAAGCATCAGTTGTTGCACATGGAGATTATTAGCAACAAAGAGTATACACACACAAGTGGACGTTACTAGCGAGAAGATAGAAGATCCATGGAGAAGCAGATAGTGTGGGGAGTGGATTAGTTGATAAATCAACAGCTGGAGGACACTGGGTTGGACTTGCGTAAGTCTGAATCAGAAGGGGCTAGGTGATTCTAGGGTTAGAATATGGTAACTCAGCGATAAATATTTGTCTCACATAGTGGGTTTCTATCTTTTTGGTTGGGTCCTGTGGTTTTTCATGTTCAGATTTTCCATGTAAAAGTGGTGTTCTCTGTGTGATCGCTTATTTTTATTTACTGTTTTAGTATTGGCATGCATGATTCATAGAATGGATTGACGAGTTTGATTACTTTTGATTAGATTAATTTTGAAATCGTTGTTAAGTTGTTTATAATTTAAACATCTGTTGAAATTAGTTAGTAATTGATTTTGAACCTATTCAATCCCTCTAAGTTTAGATCATGGCCTTATTATACTCTAATCAGAGCCTAGTGTTTAGTCTAGTACACGTATCAATTGGTATCAGAGCAGGTTACTCAAGCTTAAAGAGTAGATCATGGATCCTCTTAAGGAAAGTGGTCCATAATTAACTGATTTTAAACCTATTCAATCCCTCTAAGTTTAGATGATGGCCTTATTCTACTCTAATCAGAGCCTAGGGTTTAGTCTAGTACACGTATCAATTGGTATCAGAGCAGGTTACTCAAGCTTAAGAGTAGATCATGGATCCTCTTAAGGAAAGTGGTCCATATTTAGGCCAGTTTGGTTTGATAGGTTTAATTATAACTATTGGAAAGCTAAGATGTGAGCTTTTTAAAAATCAATCAACAAGAAGGTTTGGACATCTATAGAGTATGGATGGGTACACCCAATTAGAGAAGGAATACTAAAACTTATTATGGACTGGACCAACAATGAAATTGCATTAGCTAATTACAATTCAAAAGCCTTAAAGGCCCTTCTCACTGTTATGCCCCCTGGTGAATTTCCTAGGATCCCAAGTTGTATTGCAGCTAAGGAAGCTTGGGAAATCTTAAAAAAAAAAAAAAAAAGGTGCATGACTAACTAACTACACCAATTAAGATTTCTAAACTTCAAATGTTGGCCTAAATCAAGGTGAATTACTTTGATACCCCTGAGGTTTGCCTAAATCATCTCTGGATTAAACTTTTGAAAAAAAATATGGTCAACCTCCCCTGTGGTTTGATCAAATAATCGTGAGACTCTCTGTCATTAGTAGACCATTAAGTATGTCAAAGCAATAAAAATCAAATGCCAAAATTACCCTTGTAGAACCAAAAAGACAAAAATACGGTATATGTAAATGATTTTACCATTTGAACCAAAATTATTTGTCAAAAATGCCCTTGCATAATTTATAATAAAAAATCTATTATTAATTTTATACATTTATTACATACTATATATCAAAATATATATTTAATAAACATATAAATACAACTTTTATTTACAAACTTTAATACCCTCAAAATTTGCAATTATATATTCTTATGACAAAAATTTTATTTCATTAATATATAATTGGATATTATATATATTTTGAAATTAGATATATAATTTATTTAATTAATTTAAAAATTGAATATATTCTCAATTCCCTCTCATCTCCATCTCCTTGAACAGCCATCTCCATCCCTCACCATCTCTTCCCATAGCTAAACCAAGAGTTACACCATGCCAAGGCAAGACTCAACCCATCCGTAGCCCTTGCCACCCACAGCCACCAAAACTTTCTCACCTTCATCCTCAAAATTTACACAAACTTCAATTTTACTATATTTTCTCAAATTCTTCTTCATTTTGCACACACACACACACACATATTACAAACATATGTATACAAATATTTACTCAATCAATATATGTTTGTATAAATAAATGCAAGTATATATACATATAGCAGAATGAATTGGAATGTATATGCAAGAGTTGAGTCCATATATATATAACAGAGGGGCCTGGAATTAAGTTTGGTCGAGACCCTCCTCATCTTCACCATAGATATCGTGGTTCTATGGTTACTGAGAAATTTGAAGATTTAGGGTTAGGGTGAGAGAGGACGGGAGAGAGAGAGAGAGAGGGCCGCGGGGGGGGGGGGGGGGGGGGGCGGGCGGGGCGGTGTTGGGGTTGGGGTGGAGAGAGTATGAGAGGGGGGGTGTTGGTGTAGTTGTCGTGGACACTAAGAGGGGAGTGGTGGTGGTGTAGAGAGTTTAAGAGGGTTAATGTGGTCATTTCTTCTTTCATTGCTTACATCCTGCTATAAGGTATTATTAAATTGGTATAATAAAAGAGGGTATTTTTGTAATTTTACAATGATGTTTGGTCAACTAAAGGTCTCAACTCGGACGGGTGACATTTATTTTTTTTTAAGTTTCATCTTAGGGTAAACCTCAAAATTTACGGTAGCAATTATGTTCCAGGAGAGAGGATCCCAAGGAATAAAATTAGGAAAATCCTTAGATCTCTTCCTCCTAGATTTCAATCTAAGGGAACAGCTATTGAAGTAAGGATGCAGATCTCATCAAAGTAACAGAATTGGTTGGCTCATTACAAACTCATGAACTCAACTTCCCCGCCTAAAAAGCAAGTCTATTTCAGTTATAAAAGAAGTTGAGGAAGATGAGAGTACTGGCACTGATGCTGTGAAGAAATTGTATTTTTAATAAGAAAATTCGAAGAAATCAAAAGATGTAAGATCTTCTAGAAAAGTCAATTCTTGAAAGAAAGATAATGAACTAAAATGTTTTAAGAAAAATAAAATAGAGTACTTGAAATTTGGTGACTAAGGTCACCTGGCTGACAATTATCCAAAGAGAAGAGAAAGAAAGATAGGAAGAATAAAAGTCTAGGGCTATGAAGGCTACGCTTTTGAATTCTTCTGAAACTAAGTGAGGGTTCCAACAGTGAAAATGAGGAAGAGTCGCAAGTTGCTATGGTAGGAATTGCAGACACCTCCAATGTGGTCATCAATAAAACACATAAGAATGAATTAGAAACTGAAATTGAGATGACATTGATAGTTTTACCAGAAGTGAAATGGAAGACGAAGATGATAAGCAGACTTCAAAAGAATCTACTGAAGCCAAAAAGGAAAATTAGAAATTCAAAGATAAAATTAGAAAACTTGAGAACTCCTTAGAAGAAGCTGGGAAGGAGAAAAACAATAATCTAGCTTTAATTGATGAACGAAAGAAAAATAATTTGATTGGTGAAGTTAAATTCTTGGAACAAGAAGTTAGCTAAGCATTAAGTTTAAAGGCTACATAATAATCTAAGAAAAATAAAGTAGTAGTTGCAAAGTTCACTTCATAGATCTCTCCAATGTAAGTCTTTTACTCCAACATACACGACTTCGATACCGACAATTAAACCTTCAAGACTATATTGAACGGAATCGAGGTCACCATCACTCCCAACATCTTAGGACTTTACTTGGAGTCAATTGAACCCCCAATGG